TGGGTGTCGATTGTGTTGCAGCGAGGTGGACCGTGACTCAATGGTATGGTGACTGGTTGTAACGACGACAATATGCATGTTGTTTTGGGGGACGGCGGCGACGTGGATGTAGTGGTTATTCCATCCGATATGTTTGGGATGACTCTGTGCTGCTCTAAGAGCTACAATCATCGTTGCAGCGGCGGTGAAATGTGTTTCTCCCCTCAAATCTGTTGTAGGATGTTTTGGGCGTTGGCGGTAAGGTGGTGGTGGTGTTGTGCTGGTGGTGAAAATCTGGAGTTTTTAAGGGTAATTGGTAATGGTTTGCAAGTTGTGACATTGTTTGTAGTTGGATGGTGGTGGTTGGGATGTTGGCTGCGATGTTGAGGTCGTGGTGATGTTTGCGATGCTAGTAGACGACGGTGATGTTGATGGCCGTGGTGGTGATGGCGGCGGTGAGGTGAGGGTGGTCAAAAGTGGCTGAAGTGGTAGTGCCAGTGGTATGTGATCAAGTATTTGATTATCTGTGACCAAATGTTTAACTGTGACCTAAAAATTTGACAATATGTGACTAAAAAATAATTTGTGACCACAAATTTGATAATATGTGACCAATGAAACTAACCATTTTTTATCTGTAATCAATTAATTTGAAAATCTGTGACTGTGTGGCCTATAAATTTTGATTTGTGACCAACTAATTTTGAAATCTGTGACCAACGAATTAATTGTGACCTATAAAATTTTTGAACTGTGATCGAAATCTTCGATTTCAAAACTATAACATTAGAAAGTAAAAAATAATTATTAATCGAGTTTCGATCTAGGGAACTCACATTAAGCTTCGGATATGTGAAACAGAACCATTCTGCTTCATGTATTTTGGAACAAAACTAGAACCAATTGTTGTGGTTTGATTTCGAGTCGGGAGGTTTAATTTTGGTTAAAATGCTTACTTCTAAATAAAATAATGTGGATGTTGAATTTTTTTAGAAATTTTATACATATTTTTCAAGTTTTCAACAAAAAAACGTAATTCTCAAATTTATAAAATATTTCAAATCAATAATGCTTTGTTCGTGGACAAAGAAAAGTAATTTCATAGATTGAGAGTTTGGACTAAGATGCATTTTTTTGGACTTATTGATGGAATATAATGAAATAGAGCCACACTTGAGGTTTCCTCTAGAATGAGACATGGAATAGAGCCACTACGAAGAAGTCCCGAAAGTTATGAAAGAAGCTTCGAGCTCATATTGGTCATGGGTTGAGAACGGGAATTGATTAGCAATGATTGAGCACTTCGTTGAGCTTAACTTCAGAAGAAGAAAATCTCACTTGTATAAAAATGGATCTTATTTCTTCTAGGAAGTAATGTAGAGTTGACTATCTATTTTTCACGTAGATATGAGATGTGCCATTTTCTCTTAGCATCGAGCCTATGCGTGCTTAGGCAGACCCCAGACGAATCTTTTAAATGGCGATGCTTCATGTACAAAAGCATTACTCACGGAATAGACACAAAGGTGGGCCTCACATGTATGCAAATAAAGTGATTTTGAAATCATTTTCAAACTAAGGGCTAAATTTTCATTCTTTAGCTGGAATCAAGAATTAAATTATAATTGTCTGGTTCTCGATTTTAAAACTTCAAAACTCAGTGAAATCGAAGCAGTAAGCCACTGGCCTTTGCGATGAGAGAATAGTATCAAAAAGAGTTGAGATGATGGTCTAAACTTCCATTCCCATATAATTAATTACTAATGAAATGCAGCAAACATATGCATTTTCATTTCTTGCAAAAAACAACTGAAAAAGGAACACAATAACTCCATTGTAGTCTCTCACACAACCTCTTACTCAAAACTTATTCGCGAGAGACCATTTCTTCCACCGAAACAAAAACTCACAACTACAAACCCAGTACAGTAATAAGAGCAATTAATGAAAAACAACCACGAAATTCAAGTATTCTGGTTTATAACCAATGCCTTCCCTTAGTACCTGTAGTGAGGAGGCTTGTAAGGACCCTCAATTGGTACACTAATATAGTCAGCTTGATCCTTGGAAAGCTTGGTGAGCTTAGCACCTAGCTTACCAAGGTGAAGAGCGGCAACCTTCTCATCAAGGTGCTTGGGCAAGACGTAGACCTCCTTCTTGTACTTCCCGGTGCTCTTTTCCTTCCACAGCTCAAGTTGGGCAATGACTTGATTAGTGAAAGAGCATGACATGACAAAGCTGGGGTGTCCTGTGGCACAACCCAAGTTCATTAGACGGCCCTCCGCCAAGACAATAATGCCTGAGTTTGTTTCTGGGAAAACCCATCTGTCTGTTTGAGGCTTAATGGTGATTCTCTTAACCCCAGGGTAGGTCTCCAGACCCTGCATATCGATTTCATTGTCAAAGTGACCAATGTTGCAAACGATGGCATTGTTCTTCATCTTTTTCATGTGATCGACCATGATGATGTCCTTGTTACCAGTTGTGG